GTAACGAGGTGAAAGCTCGATAATATTCCAACTATAATGAGGTGGATAGCTCGATAATATTCCAACTGTAATGAGGTGGATGACTCGATAACATTCCAACTGTAACGAGGTGAATGACTCGATAATATTCCAACTGTAACGAGGTGGATGGCTCGATAATATTCCAACTTTAACGAGATGGATAACTCGATAATATTCCAATTGTATCAAGGTGGGTGGCTCGATAATATTCCAACTGTAATGAGGTGGATGGCTCGATAATATTCCAATTGTAATGAGGTGGAGGCTCGGTAATATTCCAACTGTAACGAGGTGGATGACTCGATAATAGTCCAATTGTAACGAGGTGGATGACTCGATAATATTCCAATTATAACGAAATGGATGACTCGATAATATTCCAACTGTAATGAGGTGGATGCTCTATAGTATTCCAATTGTAACGAGGTGGATGACTCGATAATATTCCAATTGTAACTAGGTGGATACTCGATAATAGTCCAACTGTAACGAAGTGGATACTCGATAATAGTCCAACTGTAACGAGGTGGATGGCTCGATAATATTCCAACTGTAACGAGGTGGAAACTCGATAATATTCCAACTATAACGAGGTGGATGACTCGATAATATTCCAACTGTAACGAGGTGGATGCTCGATAATAGTCCAACATAGTTCAAAATAGGAACCAGAAATGAACAAACAAATATACGAACCACTTATGGGGTGGATCACCCAACAAAACTATATACCAAAGTCTTTGATCAGTCAATCAAAACACATAATCCACGTATAAGGTGGATACCCAACAAATTTTGAAATCTTGACCCTAACATTGTCAAGAAACACGTATGCCTAAATTGCTACGCGACAATCATATTAAAAAACTATATCGACGTATATGCACGTCATGACTACGACTCTCTCTTTAAAAGACAGAATTATCAAGGTGGATGACTTAATTCTTTCACACGAAAATTAAAGTCAATCCTGCCTTCCTTGACAAACTCAACAAAATTTGAGTTTGTTGCTGACATATTCAATCGTTGTCGAAAACTTGTAACGTTTCGATAACTTCGATTGTTGTGAGGATATCGCGATCTCCAATATCTTTTCTGATGTGATGGACTTGGTGATTTTCCCTTGTAACACTTCTAAGATAATGTCACTTTTGATCATATGATCCTGACTTTACCAATACTATCACCTGCAAAGCTTGACACTAAACATTAATATTGACGATGAAGTAAAGTATATAAGTAAAGATAAAACATTAGACTAAGTCATTTGGCTTATCAAGGATTGGTTGGTCTACCTTCTATAGGATGGAGCATACCCATCGCTCTCAACCTTTCATAAAGTTGAGTTTGAGATTCCCTTAATGGTGTAAATACCTTAGGAGACTTCCTAAAATTTGGACGAGGAAATTTTTTCTGATTGACATTGTGGTTTTGATATTTCCTTTGTGGAGTAGACCGCATGTGGGTAGCAGTGAAAAAAGATACCTCTTCTTCTTTTCCTTTAGACATATTCATATCACTAATTCTGGTAGCTTTGTCATTAGCTCGCAATGCAATAAGGTTTGTGACCTTTCCAATTTTGAAACCATCTTCCAAAGATTCTCCCACCTTAACGATCTTAACAAATTTTCGTCCCATCATGCGCAACATTCTTTCATAGTACTCATGCTTTTGAGTTCGAATAAATATTTCAGTGATCTCACATTCTGACATGAGAGGTTTTACTCTCGCAGCTTATTTTCTTCAACGAAGAGCGTACTTTCGATAGTTTTCTGTAGATTTCTGTTTGATCTTCTCCAAATAGTAGCGATCAGGGGCAACTTCTACGTTATGTCCAAATCTTTCAGTGAAATCCTTTGCGAGTGCATTCCAACTCGTCCATTGTTTTAATTTTTGTGATGTAAGTCACTCCAAAGCTTTTCCATTTAGACTTCAACCGAAGCAGCGCATCAACAATGCTTCATTTTCCCCAACTCCCACGAGTTGATCACAATATACTTTCAGATGTTCTAAAGGATTTCCAGTTCCATTAAAAGTGATGAACTTTGGCACTTTGAACCCTTTCGGAAGGTCCAAATTCGGATGAATGCATAAATTTTCGTAGTTCACCCCCATCTCTTCTGAAGAGTAATCAAGTTCTTTTATAACTTTCGCAATCTCTTGCTTCATGATCTACTTAGTCTTTTCCTCTTTGGCCCTCCACTCTTTCTCCTTCTCTTCGTAGTTGTCAAGTTCGAAATATGATGTATAGTGAATGTGTGGTTCGGTGTCGGCTGAAATATCAAAAGTGACTTTTGGAGGTAAGGGTTGAGCGTTAGGTGGATTTTGAGTGCCTTAAGCAGGGGTCAGGTACATGAAAGGGGATGATTGAGGATTGTTGACATTTAGGCTTTGAAATAGAGGGAATGTTTGAGAGTTGTTAGCATTTTGATTTTGAGGGGGATGGAAGACTTGAGGGTTGAGATTCAAGCTTTAAAGAGGAGGAGGTGTTTGGTATGAAGTGTTGGTCTGATGAAGATTTGGGGTAGTTAAGTTGATAGTTGAGGGTTTTTGAACAGGGTTGAAGGGTGGGTTATTCTGGACATATTTCGAGTTTGAATTCAGAGGAGAAAAATGGAGTGGAAGCCTTCCATCCCTAGAGTGTTGACATCGACAGTCGAAATTGACAAATCTTGTTTTTTCTGGAGCTCAACCCTCAATTCAGCAATTTGTTGCATGAACTGTGCAATTAACTCATTTTGTTCAACGGTAAGGGGTTGAATTATAACAACTTCAGTCAAGCCAGTATTCTCACTATTCTGGGTCTTCTTTTTCCTTTCAACAAAATTCGACTGGGGAAGGAATCTTTGAGAACTTTGAATGTTCAACCAATTTCTCAACACAAATCAGTTTGAGTACCTGAAAAGGAAAAATAACTCAAAAGGCAAATGTGTTAGTTTGTGTAGGTAATAGGTAATACAAGATATCACACACAGCGTAATAAGCACACAAGAGTCGCTTCATTCGAAGATAAATTAACCCATGGATATAGAAAGATGACTAAATAGGCAGAAATTTGTCTATTTGATTTTGAGCTTAGTGAATGTAGACTTGAGTCGAGACAAAATTGATTGTATTGTCGTACTTTTGATTTTCGATTGAGATGTAACTCTAATTTCTTTGTAAAAGTTGAAAAAGATAGAATTTTTCAAAAATGGGGACCGAGCCTTGAAAGGCTGCCTACGTATCTCACGGAGGAGAATTCAGGTCCTACGTAGTTCGACCCACTCGAATCTCTTTCAATTTGAGATGATGAATCTTTTCTGATATGACAAAGTAAGATGTGAAAAATGAAGTTTGAATTTCGTTGGGAAACTAAAGACTCGAAGAGTATTTAGACACACTTTTGATAGTGACTTGATATTTGTGCTTAGAGATTCTAAAAACAATTTGAAGAGGAGTGAACTAAAATATCTTCAAATAAAACAACATAATCACACAATCAGTAAACAATTATTGCACGTTCTAAACAGATATGTGACCCTTTTGTGCCAAGGGTAGGCCTAACTATTTGAGGGATGTATACGTTATTTGAAACATTCCAATACCCCAAAACCCAAATTTATACAAGTTTTATGAATAAACTGAATGGGGATACATAATAGGGGAAATGAGATAGAAAATAATCAGTCTCACGCAGAGGTACAATCCTTAACTATGCCTCTATGGAAGGTCCTTCCTTCTTGATTTCTTCTCTTCTCCGAATGCTGACACCTTTAAATGCAATGATGACTCATGAAGATCTTCATTTAACTAAAGTAAGCTAATTAAAATAAACTCCCAACCTCGAGGGACAATGGTTTACCCAACGACGTCTACATCTTTTAAATTTAAACACATAAGTATGATTGCTCGTTTAGGCCATGGGCCGTTTTGGACTCAAGGTGGTCTTTCTAAGGAAAATTCACTTTTATCTAGGAATGCAACATTGGAGCCTTAATTACCGGCTCTAATGAAGGATTTTTTTAAAAGAAAAATACGAATAGTAATATTTTTTGATAAAATATATACAAACGGTAAAACATATTATTGATATACATTAAAGAGATAAGAGTTTGAAAAATACCCCAACTTTGGTCGGATTTGATGTTGCGATACTAAACTTTCATGAGGATCTGTTACCTCCCTAGACTATTTAATACTGTATTTTAAACATATACATTTGTCCACGTGAACATAAAAAATAATACAAAATTATAAATAGTAATGTGACCACGTGGGCACATATATACCTTTAAAATACACTATTAAATAGTTCAGGGGGTAAAAAATACGGAATTAAATAGTCTAGGGAGGTAATAGGTCCTTATGAAAGTTTAGTATCGCAACAGCAAATCCGACCAAAGTTGGGATATTTTTCAGACCCTTATGCCTTTAATGTATATCAATATTATGTTTTACCGTTTGTATATATTTTATCAAAAAATATTACTATTCGTATTTTTCTTTTAAAAAAATCCTTCATTAGAGCTGGAAATTAAGGCCCCAATGTTGCATTCCTAGATAAAAGTGAATTTTCCTTAAATTTATACTTCTTTCGTTTCAATTTGTTTGTTCTATTTTGTCTTGGCATAAAATTTAAGAAAGTAATTTTTTTAATTTTTTTTTATGGTCATAAACTAAAGATATGTCAAATATATTTAAATGTTCTTTTGTTTTGTGATCTTAAACACGTCAACAGAAAAGTTTAAAGTAAAAAATTGTCAAAAAAAAAGAGAAAAGAGATATTCTTTCGAAAACGAACTAAAAAATAATAAAGTAGAATAACCAATTTGAAATAGAGAAATAATAAATTTTCCCAAAGACATGCAACACCAGAGCCCAAAAGTAAGCCCAAAGTACCATAACACAGGCCCAACACATTGGCCTCCAAAAGCTGAAAACCCAACTTTAAACCCTAGCTTCTCGAGCCCACCATTTTTATGTATAAGAACCCAAAAACCCTAATATTCGTCTTCTTCATCGGCTGCCATTTTCAGAGAGGCAGAGGAGAGCGCAACAGTGAAATCAACAAAAAATGAAGTACAATCCTAGAGTATCCTCCTCCCGCCGGAAGAGCAGGAAGGCTCATTTCACGGCGCCGTCAAGTGCGCGCCGGATTTTAATGAGCGCACCCTTATCGTCCGAGTTACGTGTAAAGTACAACGTAAGATCTATGCCGGTGAGGAAAGACGACGAAGTTCAGGTTGTTCGTGGAACTTACAAGGGCCGTGACGGGAAGGTCGTCCAAGTGTACCGTAAGAAATGGGTGATCCACATTGAACGTATAACCAGGGAGAAGGTTAATGGATCTACTGTGAACGTTGGTATTCATCCTTCGAAGGTTGTTGTTACAAAGCTCAGGCTTGACAAAGACAGGAGATCACTACTCGACCGCAAGGCTAAGGGACGCGCTGCTGCTGACAAGGACAAGGGCACTAAGTTCACTTCTGAGGAGATCATGCAGACAATCGATTGATTTTTCACTCATTTTGTCTGGTATTGCTATTTTAGCTAAAGAGAATTTATAGCCGTCCGTTTCAGTTAATTAGTGTTTTGTGGAGACATTGAATTTTGTTGAAGTTTCTGTTTTTGCTTAAATCAATGATGATGATACTTCAGAATCCCATAATTTAGTTAAATTATTATGTTAGCTACTATATTTGACTGTTGGCTGTACCTGTAGCTCTGCTTTGACACTCATGAATGATGCTGTTAAGCCAAGTGACTCGCTTTGGTGCTTAGTATGTGTTTTACACAAGAAGCATTATAGCTTTAGAGGTTGTCTAGTAAAGAAATGAGATTCTAGAGTATCCACATAGGGTAAACTTGGATCATTTGATATCCTTTAGAAGTTGCTTCTTTCTGAACCATGGACGATAGGATATACTATATGATTACCATCCATGTGAGCTTTGAAAACCATCAATATTGCTAAGCTTTTGGTGAACAATAACTACATACCCGGTATAATTCCACAAATGCAGTGGCAGACTAGAGGTAGTCAAGGGCTCACCCAAACCCTTTGGCAATAAACTACATTGTATTTATGAGGTATTTTAAAGAAATTTTATGTCTTTATAATTGATTTTGAACCTCCTAAATGTAGGATTAGATGTTGGCTTAGTGGTTGTGGGGTTCAAAGCTCACCTTGAGGTTCCAAGATCAAATCTTAGGCACTATTTTTTTTCCGACCCCCTTAATGGAAATCCTAGATCTGCCATTGTTGGTGAAGTTAGAGTATCTCTACAATGTAAAGAAGCTTTAGTGAAGTTATGTTCTAATTGGCGGCAAACATCATGAACACCTCTATTGTACACTTAACATTGCATAGAATTGCTGGTTGAAAGTGTGCTGTATATTTTTGTGAGGCTTCTCATTTTCTGTTTAATCAACGTAGTGCTCTATTTGTCATTTGAGCCCTCAACCATGTTGTGTTTGAATTGTAGGCATATTACTGATGAATGATTTTTCGGAGTGGTAGGAGTGAATGACCACAAGAATGAAGTGTCATTTAAAGTGACTAGTACTGGATTCTCTTGCCTTTATATTTTACATCATATAGCTGCAACAACAATTTCTGTTCTTTTATTCCTCTATGAAATAACATTAGTCATCCTTTTTTTTGGGTCATTTTTTAGTAGAGCTAGGGTGTTGGAGTAGCTGCTATAGTTTTCCAGTTCAAGTTAGTTTATGTTAAGTTAATCATTCCATATGCTACTTGGAAATAGTTTCCTGTTAGTATGTCATACTTCTAAAATTTCTGGTTTATTATCCTGAAGCTCTATTCATTATCTTGTTATTTTCCAGTTTTATGCATTTTGTAGAAGTCTCTTAGCTTCGAGGTAGTGTGTTTTACTGCTAACTGGGCTTTTTACTAGTCAGATTTGTATGACTTTCTTGAGATGCTAAAGGGTTGGTGATGCCAATGTGTTATACCTTGCGGATACACGTGCAAGTAGTACTTCTTACCCGGAATTCAGATTAAGATTATTTAGATGCTGCTTTTTGAGTGCTCTACCACAATGTGTTTTTCAATTTTCATTTTTTATGCTTAGTGTTTGTTTAGCCCTCTGGTCATGAAAAGTCTCAGTGGTCAGTTCATTTAACTATGTAACAACTTGAAAAGTTTAAAGAACTTATCTTCAAATGTATTGTTGAAGGTGATTTTGATATTTTATGCTCCTGCCCGCTTGTATTCATTTTCTAGCTATATTGGCCTTTTTTGATCAATAGGCAAGAGTTTATTGTCCCTCTCGTCAACTTCATCTCAGCTATCTGTCTTTATTCTTTGACAGCTATTCTGTGCATATATTCTTGTGTTTAAAAAACCTTGCGAATGTTTTGTTGAACCCTTGGGGGTTGGCTCAAATGGTTTGGCTTGGGACTTCCATAATGGAGTGTCTTGTTCAAACCCCCTTGCCTGCCCCTGTTGTCGAGCTTGTTACACGGGGTTGGGTTGCCTAGTGCAGTTTACCTTTTGTAGTTTGAGAGCTATTGCACTGCATTGGTGTTTATCCCTGTGCACTAAAGGGATTGTTTGGTAGAGTGTATTGGAAAAAATAATGCTTGCATTAGTTTGATGTATTATTAGTACCTTGTTTGGTTCACTTTTCTAATCTATGCATAACTAATGTTTGTGTTAGTAATACACTCTATTGTGTATTGAAGAGTATTACTAATATCATCTATTTCTACGCATTAGTAATGCAATGGGTTCTAATGCATGCATTAACATTATTGCTAACATTATTAAAGACACAATTGCCCTTAAAAACTTTTTTTTACATCTTTTCCACTATATTTGTGGAGGGTATTTTTGTAAATATATAGTAGTATTTTTTCTAAAAAAACTATGTAATGCATAATATATTTTTTACACCAAACCAAACATTGCATAAAAAAAAATTCATCATAACTAATGCAATGCAAGTATTATTAACACACTATATTTTGCATTATTCTTATACACTCTACCAAATGACCCCTTTTTTATGTGGGGTCTCATGTCATAAAAAAAATTTCTTTTCCTGCGAGTATCCATGTCTTTCACCTCCTCTGGTTCTTGCGCTGCAGAAGATCAGAGGAGTTTGTTAAGTATACAGCATTACCTGCTAGGGGAAAAGCTATGGATATCTACTCTATACAATTAAAGCAAGATATGGTTGGGCCCTTTGCTCATTTACCTACTAGAAACCGTCATCCTACCTTCCTGAGATAGGGTGATAGGGTGAGGTCTGCGTGCACTCTCTACCACTTGTGTGATTTATCAACTATATAGTTGTTGATGTGATAACTCAGTAAAAGCTCTTTTCCCCCTTCTCTGATGTGTACATACTTTTGGGATCTAACTAATTTTAATTTGTCCCTTAATTCTCACTTTGGTGTAAAATTATCTAAGATTAATTTGGATTTGTGCTTTAGTATGTAACTTTGGGATAAAATTGTCTCATCCAAGGCTCGAAGGTTAGTATTATGAATTTTATCACATGGATTGAGAGATGCACTAGTGCTACGTATAAAGGTTCATAATTGTACGGGAAAAAGAATCATTTAAAGATAAAATATGAAATTATTTGTGTATGACTGAATTTTTTATTTCGATATAGGTAGTGTTCGTATCTAAAGCTCTTCTCTCAAAAGTTCTTTAAGAATATTTGTGTTAAAATTCAAAATAATCTAAATATTTAGAGGAAATAGCCAAATCACCCCTCAATCTATAACTAGATTACCAACTACACACCTATACTTCACGAGGGTCCTAGTACCTCCTAGATATTTTCAAAATGAAATATATATCCCCTTAAAATTGATCTTCTAGATTCGCACCAAGTAGTGATATGCATGCGTCCTGCCATGTAATATTACCTTTTTTTTATATAAAAAAATATTTCTTTTTCTCTATTATGCTTTTTCCTTTTATATTTTCCTTTTCTGCTTTTCTTTTTTCAGTTTCCATTCCTCTTTTTCTTTGTCTTCAACAATGTTTTTTGGCTAAAAAAAATTGCCTTTTTAGATAGGATACATGCCATGACTACTACACATTCTTAGACTCCCAGAGGAGATATGGTACCAACAAAATCTCGATGTTCTTTATTGAAGCTTTAGGAGAATGAGAAACTACATCGTTGGAATCACTTCTGTTTCCACTGCTAGTATTGAAATTAAAACAATGCTTTGAGAAATTACTAGTAAGCAACACTAGTTAGCCTAAATGAGGTTACCAGTGTTGGCTAGCGGAGAGACTAATGATGATTTCGATTTAACAATGTTAACCTAAGAAGTTTGATGGATTATTGCAATCATTTCAATAAATGAGTTTTCTCCATTAATTAGTTTGTTACCCAATGAATTCTTCTCCATTTTTACTCTACAGTTCAGTCCTTTTGACTTTTGATTTTAATTTCGAGTTACCGCAAAATTTCAAATCGGTGAAAAGTGAAGTTACAGTGTCAAGTATGTGATTTGAAGATGAGAGTTGGCTTAGTGATAAATGGATGATGTCGGCCTGGTGGTGGATATGAGCTGATGTTGCCCTGTTAAAGAGGAAAATAAAGAAGAGGAAGAAGGTAAAAATGAAAAAATAAATAAGAATAAAAGTAAGTATAAAAATTCAAAAAAAATAATCAGAAAAGTAATATGAAATAAAAGAAATACTTATAAATTAAAGTTTTAATTATTTTTATTGCCTCTCACTCTCTCAAAGAGAGTGAACTACACCTTCTTTGCCACATCAACATTTAGGGAGCAAATAATTATATTTTAAAATAGTCCAGGGAGGTAATAAGTTTCTCGTAAAGTATAGGTGTGTAGTTGGTAATCTGATAATAGATTAAGGTGGCATTTGACTATTTTCTCAAATATTTACAAGAGAAAACTATGTATTCTATTCTCGTATTACAAAGGGTCTAATTTTTTTTAATTATAGAATTTCAAATTAGATTAATTTAAAGTTAAAATTGTCACGCCCCGAGCTACCCCCGAGACGCGGACACGGGACCTAGGACCACAAGTGATCCCAAGCTAACCCTGCTGGCATGATCATGAGCATACTAAAGATAATAAACTGATGCGGAAGCTAAATCATAAATAAATCTGAAAAGATTGGGAATACCCATATACTATATCTGAATATATCAAATCTGAGAGTTTAATACAAAAGAAATATATTAACTCAATACTAAGCTGAATCTAACTATGTCTGAAATAAGACCCTAAACTGAATAGAAATGTTGGGACATGCCCCAACTAG